GCAGGGGCTTAGCCTGGGGAACGGGTGACCACATCCCCACATGCCTGTCTCCCTTGGTCCTGGGATGCGGAGGGGGGCTCAACGAGGAGGCCGGGTTGTGCTACGTCCCCGCGGTGGCCCCCCTCTGCCAGCCCGGCGGGGGTGCGGGGGCTGGGGGGACTCGCCCTGGAGGCCGGGCTCTCCAGGCCGCCATCACCGCACCGCCCCCTCCCCGCCGCATACCTTGCCCACAGCCGAGCAGCTGGGAGGCTATTTATAAAGTCGGGTGAGATCAGCGGCCGAGGCTATAAATGCGCGGGCCGCGGCCAGGCCCCACAGGAGCAGCCGCCCGGGGCGCCGGAGCTGCGGGCCGTGCAGCCGGGATGAGCGCCAGCGCGGGCGGTGGCAGGGACAGCGGCAGCAGCAGCAGGTAGGGCTCGGCCCGGGTGCCCGGGGCCCCTGGCGCCTCGCGCACTCACTGCCCACCCACCCCGCCCACAGCTCGCAAACCTCCTGCGGCCCCGAGTCCTCGGGCTCCGAACTAGCCCCTGCCACACCAGCACCACGGATGCTGCAGGGGCTGCTGGGCTCTGACGACGAGGAGCAGGAGGACCCCAAGGACTACTGCAAGGGTGAGGCCTGGCCTCAGGCACAGGCAGCCACGCAGCCTCCTCAGGGGCGCAGGACAGCCAGGGTGGAGGGTGCCGGAGCTGGCCCATATGGGCCAGGGGTCCAGCAGGGCCAGGCTGTCCTGGGGCATAGGGGAAGGCAAAGTCCCCCGGCATGCTCTATTGGCTTCCTTCCCCAGGTGGCTACTACCCCGTGAAGATTGGCGACCTGTTCAATGGGCGGTACCACGTGGTGCGCAAGCTGGGCTGGGGCCACTTCTCCACCGTCTGGCTCTGCTGGGACATCCAGTGAGTGCCCCCTCTATCCCTCCGGGGCCCAGTGCCAGCTGGGATCCTGGCCCTGGACTTGGCTGGGGTCACCACAATGTCCCCTGCCGGGGTCTAGCCTGGGCTGGCAGCCGACATGGGTCTTGGTGTTGCAGGCGCAAGCGCTTCGTGGCCCTGAAAGTGGTGAAGAGCGCAGGGCATTACACAGAGACAGCTGTGGATGAGATCAAGCTCCTGAAATGTGTGAGGCGCCTCCCCTACCCGCTCCCAGCTCCCCGAGAGCTGCCTGGGGCCTGGCAATGTGGGTGCAAGGCCTGCCGGGGCTCCTGGGGCGGGGCTCCCAGAAGGGCTGGCTCCAGCTGGCTCTGCCCGCGTGGGAGGACCTGGAGGAGCAGGCGAGGGAGGGGCCGGCGGCCTTTCTTCCAGTGGGGCCCAGCCAGACAGGGAGAGAGGGCCATAGGTGCCACAGGGGCTGTTGAGGGGAGCAGTTGGTGAGGGGCAGGTTGGAGCCATCTGTGGCCCCTTGGCTTTTGCTCCAGGTCCGAGACAGTGACCCCAGCGACCCCAAAAGAGAGACCATTGTCCAGCTCATTGATGACTTCAGGATTTCAGGAGTTAATGGAGTCCGTATCCTTTGTAGGCTGAGCAAAGCCGTGTGGCAGTGCAGGGGCCCCTTGTGCCCTCCCAGCTACTGGGGCCTCAGTTTGCTGATCTGCACGATGGGGGTTTACCCCTTCCAGTGACACTAGTCTATGAAATACTCCCACCACTTTGGGGATGTGTTTATGTGGTGGGGAGTGGATTACCAGGTCAGCATGGGTTACCCATGGGCGTTGCTGAGTTACCACTAAATGGCAGGGGCCGCCTCTGTGGCAGGGCCTTCCCTCCATGGGGCTGCCCGGAGGCTCTTTGGCATACCTGGGCATAGGAGTGGGGCTGGCCTGAGGCCTCCCTGTCTGCTCCTCCAGTGCCCCCTCCCTAGGAGGACCACAGCATGGACCATCCCAGCTGGCACACCTGAGAGTGACAGGGACACTATAATGACACCAGGATGGTGGTGACTACCAGGACCACCCAGGCCCAGCTGTGCACTGCTCAAGCCTCATTGCTCCGCCACCCTAGCCAAGGGTGGGTGGGACTTGTGCCCCAGCTGTGTTTCCACTGGCTGCCCTTCACTCTTGGCCCCAGATGTGTGCATGGTGCTGGAGGTCCTGGGCCACCAGCTCCTCAAGTGGATCATCAAGTCCAACTACCAGGGCCTTCCCGTGCCCTGTGTGAAGAGCATTGTGAGGCAGGTGAGCATTCAGGGCCCTGGGTGAAGAGCACTGTGAGGCAGCTTGCTTGGGGCTGGCGGAGTTCAGGAGTGGCTCTCCCCAGGTGCTGCATGGCCTGGACTACCTCCACACCAAATGCAAGATCATTCACACGGACATCAAACCTGAGAACATCCTGCTGTGTGTGGGGGACGCCTACATCAGGCGCCTGGCTGCCGAGGCCACAGAGTGGCAGCAGTCAGGGGCACCGCCCCCATCCCGCTCCACAGGTACCAAGATCCTGTGTGTGGCTAGGATGGGGCCTGTGGGTCTCAGCCCTTGCCTAAGTCTCTGTTTCTTTCTCTCCCCCTGTGCTCCGCCTGCCCCTCCAGTCAGCACTGCCCCCCAGGAGGTTTTGGTAAGTTGGGGCGCCCCTCGTTTCCTGCGCCTCATCTCCCCATCTCCTCGGAGCTCGCCTCCTCTGCCTCTCTGGTTCCACCCCCTCCCCAGCACTCTTGCAGTGGCACTTCCAAAAGGCTGTGTGGCCCGGAAGAGGGTGATACACAGGGTGGGTCACATGCCCCAAACTGCCCTTGGTGGCTGCTGGGCTTGCCACTGCCTCAGTGGTAGGACGCTGCCTCTAGGACTGGGAGGGGCCAGGGCTGCCGGCGCCCAGAGGAAGGCAGGCCTAGCAGCTCCTTTCCACCCTCGACCTTTGGGAAGTGGAGGGCAGGAGGGGAGACAGGAGGTGGGTGAGGGGCTGGAGGGGGTGGCACCGTGGGGCATGCGGGCCGCGGGCAGAGGCTCGGGCTGCTCAGGGGATGGACAACAGGAACTCTGGGGTAACCTGGCTCTAATGGCAGACTGGAAAGCTGTCAAAAAACAAGAGAAAGAAAATGAGGCGCAAACGGAAACAGCAGAAGCGGCTGCTGGAAGAGCGGCTGCGGGACCTGCAGAGGCTGGAAGCCATGGAGGCGGCGGCCCAGGCCGAGGGTGAGGGGCCGGAGGGGGCGCCGGGCTGCCGAGCACGGAGCAGGGTCTGCAGGGGCGTCTGCTCACGCGCCGCCTCCACCCGTCTCCCCAGACTCTGGCTTGAGACTAGAGGGGGGCAGCGGCTCCACATCTTCTTCCGGCTGCCACCCCGGGGGGGCCAGGGCTGGCCCCTCCCCAGCCTCCTCCTCCCCCGCCCCGGGGGGCAACCGCAGCCTCAGCCCCAGCTCCCAGACCTCAGGCTTCTCTGGCTCCCTCTTCTCTCCCGCCTCGTGCTCCATCCTCTCTGGCTCGTCCAACCAGCGGGAGACCGGGGGCCTCCTGTCGCCCAGCAGTAAGTCAGCCGGGCCAGCGGGGGGTGGGGGGTGGCAGGCAGGGCTGGAAGAGGCCTGGCCAATTTAGTCGCTCTCCCTTCTCTTCCTTCCCCAGCACCGTTTGGTGCCTCGAACCTCCTGGTGAACCCCCTAGAGCCCCAAAACGCAGACAAGATCAAGATCAAGATTGCAGACCTGGGCAATGCCTGCTGGGTGGTATGAGGGAGCCTTGGAGAGCAGAGCCGGGCCCCTGCCATGAAGGGGGCTCTGACCCGGGCCTGCGGGTCACCCCACAATCCACGTGACCAGACCCCAGCACCGACATCCCCAGTCAGCAGAACTGGGCCCATAGCAAGGGGTGGGGGGCCACTGGGAAGGCCACTCCCTGCCAGGACATCTGGGGACCCTGAGGCTCCATGTGAGTCCCACTGAGCCCCTTGGGTGCACGGCCCAGAGGAGGCGGGAGATGAGTCGGGGGCCGGTGGGGGCAGGCCAGCCTGGGCCCCAGCTCCTCCCCAGGGCTCCCCTTGCCTCCAGCACAAGCACTTCACTGAGGACATCCAGACACGGCAGTACCGGGCCGTGGAAGTGCTGATTGGCGCTGAGTACGGGCCCCCAGCTGACATCTGGAGCACGGCGTGCATGGTATGCCCGGGCTTCCCTGTGCAGGGCTGGCCCATAGGCCTGCAGCCTCACCTTCTCCCTGTTCCAGGCCTTCGAGCTGGCCACCGGTGACTACCTGTTCGAGCCTCACTCTGGAGAAGACTACAGCCGTGACGAGGGTAGGGGAGGTAGGCCCTGGGCTCAGCCTCAGGGCCTCCTGGCTGCCCAGCTGCCTCCCAGCCTCCTCTCTGTCCACAGACCACATCGCCCACATCGTAGAGCTTCTGGGAGACATCCCCCCAGCCTTCGCCCTGTCGGGCCGCTACTCCCGGGAGTTCTTCAACCGCAGAGGTGGGGCCAAGCGGGTTCAGGCCACCTGGATGCAGGGGGTGGGGCAGGGCCCTTGGGTTCTGAAACTCGGGGAGTACTGCGGCTTCCTGGCAGGGCCTAACCTAACACCTGCTGCCTGGACCCCAGGAGAGCTACGGCACATTCACAACCTCAAGCACTGGGGACTGTACGAGGTACTCATGGAGAAGTACGAGTGGCCCCTGGAGCAGGCCACGCAGTTCAGTGCCTTCCTGCTGCCCATGATGGAGTACATCCCAGAAAAGCGGGCCAGCGCGGCCGACTGCCTCCAGCACCCTTGGCTCAACTAGGCCACGCTGGCGCCTGGGGCAGCTCGGGAAAGGGCCTGGCTCCGCCTCGACCCCCGCTCCAGCTCTCAGTGCCTTCAGGGAAAGTGGGACGACTCCTGCCACCCTGCTGGGTGCGAACTTTCTGACACTCCCCCCCCCAATGGCAGGGCCGACAGATGCTAGGGCAAGGCTCACCTTTCAGAATTTGTGCTGCCCCCAACCCTCACAGAGGGCCCTCGAGTGGGAAGTGTGTGTGTTTTTCTTAATAAAGTGTGAACTGGAGACAGCAGCACATGGCCCAGTGCTGGGAAGAAGCTGATTTATTCTGGGCCCGCCCACCGAGCGGACTGGGGTGCTGGGGTGGGAGGGGACAGCCTAAGCCTCCACAGCGCGGCCGTTGATGATGCGGATGTGGCGGATGATGTCCTGGATGGCTTCCGATGTCGTGCCCTGGCCCCCAATGTCTGGGGTGTGCATCTGCGGGAGACCGGCAAGTTTGGGCACACACTTGGGCCCCAACACCTGATCCCTACCCTGCAAGCGGCCCAGGGCTGCCCACTGTCTCCCGTGGCCTGCAGGGGCTGGAACTGCCACCAGGAGGGCAGCGGTACCAGCTAAGGCCCAGAAGCCCTACCTGACCTGGTAGCACCCTCTCCTTGGGGTCACCGTCTCCAGCCCCTCAGGCATGACACCAGCTCAACTTGGGCTGGAGAAGGGAACTAGGGGGGGAGGGGGCGAGGCAGGGCAGGGGAGAGTGGAGCCTCACGTTTTCATTGTCCATGGATGCCAAGACGGCCTTGCGGATGGAGGTGGCATAGGAGTGGAGCCTAAGGAGAGAGAGAGAGCCTTCAGTCCTTATGGCCCAGGGGCCTGGGGGCTCCTGGCCGGGCATGGAGAAGCGCTTACTTGAGGTGGTCGAGCATCATGCAGCTTGCCAGCAGCGTGGCCGTGGGGTTGGCAACGTTCTTATTGGCGATGCTCTTGCCTGTGTTCCTTGTAGCCTGGAACCAGCAAGACGGAGAGGGTGGTGAATATAAGGATGGAGGGTGTATGATTCCATTCGTGTGAAGTGTCAGGAAGAGGCAAATCCATAGAGGCAGAAGGCAGATGAGTGGGTGCCAGGGGCTGGGGGGAGGGGCAATGGAGCGTGATGGCTAACAAGCACAAGGTTTCTTTTGGGTGAAGACAATGTTCTGGGATTAGATAGTGGTAATGGTTGCGCACCTCTGAACATTCTAAACCCCACTGAGTTGTCCACTTTCAATGGGTGAACTCCATGGTATGTGAGCTCTATTCAAAAAGGCCAGCAGCCTTGGTGCCCCCGGTGACACTCACCGTCTCAAACACGGCATACACGTGGCCATAGTTGGCCCCAGCCACAAGGCCAGGGCCCCCGACCAGCCCTGCACAGACATTGTTGACGATGTTGCCATAGAGATTGGGCATCACCATGACATCGAACTGCTGCGGCCGGGACACCAGCTGCCGGGTGAGGAAGGGCACACAGGAGTTGGAATACGAGAAGCCCAGGGCACCCACGGTGGGAGGCCACAGAGCCCCGCAGCTTAACTACCTGCATGGTGGTGTTGTCCACGATCATATTCTCAAAGGTGATCTGGGGGTAGCCGGCTGCCACCTCCTTGCAGCACTGGAGGAAGAGCCCATCACCCAGTTTCCTAGGGGGGACACGGGACACTAGCTTGGCTATTGCAACAGTCAGCTGGAGGGATGGGGTGTACAAACAGCCACAGAGGGCTGGATTCTAACCTCTAGCAAGTCCCCCGTCTGCAAAACGGTCATAATCCCATTCCACATCCCCAAGTGTGCACTGTGGCGAGGCTCGGCTGGGAAACGGGCAACAGGGCACCCCTGTGCACAGCCCCTTGGTGGGTGGCTAGGGTCCAGGGCCCCAAGTCCCTGAGAGCAGGCCCAAGTGGGCTGCTCAATTCGGCTGCCTCAAGGCTGCTCGCAGAATGGGCAAGAGCATGGCAGGGGCGAGGGGCATACATGATGTTGGCCTTGTGCACGGCTGTCACTTTCTTGCGCCCGCTCTCCTGGGCCAGTTTGAAGGCGTATTCAGCAATGCGCAGGGACTTGGCCTTGGTGATGATCTTCAGGCTCTCCACCACGCCTGCCACACTCTGACAAGGGGACAACGGAGAAGAGACCTATGTCCCGTCCAAGCCTGCCCTTTAGCACAAGCTTCTCCTTGGGCACAGCCTTCCTTACCACTGACCCTGGCTGGGCTCGTCCCGGCCCCCATGACCCGAGAGGTTAAGGGGGTGGCCTGGGCCTCACCCACCTCGTGCTCTAAGCTGCTGTACTCGCCCTCTGTGTTTTCGCGGACGATGAGGATGTCTATGTCTCTGTGCCGGGTCACCACTCCTGGCAGGCTCTTACAGTGGATGACATTGGCATAGAGGTCCAGACTGGTGCTGGGGGCACAGAGAGAAAGGCAGCTTGCCAGTGCCACGACTCTCTGCTGGCACACCCCACCCCACGCCCACCACGCCTCCACCCTGTGCACTTGGCTCTCACCGGAGGATGTTGTTTCGGGACTTGTGGGATGGTGGCAGGTTATGGTTTGTTTCAATATTGCCTGCAGGACAGAAAGAAGACAGGCAGGCTGGAGAGGGGGGCCCCAGGCTCAGCCGAGCCACCATATTCCCCTTCCTGACCCAGACAATGCAAGCCAAAAGCAGCTCCAAATGGAGAGGAGACGGCTTTTGGCAGCAGAAATACTTCCCGGAACACTAGAGTGTAACTCCAATGTAAGCCCCTCAAGGGCGGGGGGAGGGGAGCATTTGGTTCACCGATGGGTTCTGAGGATCTAGAAGAGCACCTGGCAGATAGCAGGCACTCAATAAATACTTACTTACTGAACGAACGAAGAAATGAATGAACAAGGGTTGGCAGCCAGCCAGGAGGTCTGGCCAGACCCTGGGCAGGGAACAGCAAGACCAGGGTCTGGCTGGATAGAAAGTGACCACTTCTGCTCATTAACAGGCTGGCCGGCCAGGCTGGCACGAGCAAGGTGACCTTGGCCAGGGTTACTGCCAGGCCCCGTGTTGAGGTGCCAAATGAGCCCCAGCTCATGGGCAGGTGGGGGCTGCCTGAAAAAGACCATAGCTTGGCCTTGGCTGGACCCAGGACATCCAGAGCAAGGGCAGCAGGGAGCCTGAAGCCACTGGGCTAGGAGAAGGTGGTCAGAGGGTGCCAAGGGGGCCTTTCTCAGGGCCACCAGGGCTGCCAGCCCCTCCAAGTCACACACTGCCGGGACTGCTTTCACCCAGAGGGCCTTGGGTACCCTGTGGTTGGCTTGGCAGCCTCTCCACTTGACTGCAAGGGCCTGAGGCTCAACCCAGGTTCATCTTTGCTCACACGTTCCTCACACAGAACAGGGGATGGGTTAAAGTTTACAGAATGAGTGATGGAAATAGTTTAAGAAACCGGACCAAACCAAGGCAATAAAGGGAGGGGCTAGAATTCCTGCCTGTAACAGCCACAGCTGTGCTGGCTGGAGCCCACGCAGCAGGCAGAGGGTTGGAACTGTGTCTCTGTGACATTTGGTTTGTGAAGAAAGACTCTGAGGGTCAAAGCTGCCCCCAGCAGAAAGGGCTACCTCAAGAGGGAAGAAGGGGGTGGGAGGGAGCCCATCACTGGTCAGGCTCCCACACAGCCTAGTGCCACCGAGATCTCAAAATCACAGCACACACAGGCTTCCAGAAGCTTCTGTCCACTCTCCAAGCACAAGGATCCTCCCAAGCCAGAAAAGCCCTGAAGTCAAAGCCATGGAGCGCCAAGGACAAGCGTCAGCTCTGAGGTGAAAAGAATCGTGTGCAGCACCCCATCCTGGCACCCGAGCTCACCCTTCAGGGCCACACGGTTCCGACGGATGGCCATGATGGCGTTTCGGATGTCCTCTTCATCAGTGCTGGAGCTCACGTGCACCTCCTCAAAGTCCACTGGCACACATGCATGCCTGGGGCAGAGCTGCGTCAGGGCAGCTGGCCCCAGGCCTCCCTCGAGCCTCCTCCAGGAAGCCTGCCTGGACCACTGGGTGCAGAGGCCTCCCCTGCTGCTGCCCACCCTGACCTGGCTCTGGCTGAGAGGAGACTGGGCCCACCTGCGCCAACTGATGGGGACATGCTTGCGCTCCATGATACAGCTAGCAGGACAGGTGTCATCACCTCTCCTATGCCCAGGCCAGCCTCGAAAGACTGCAGGCACCAGGGCTTACAGCCGTCCTGCCCGGGCTCAGTGGGTGCCCGGGCTCACTGGCCCTCTTGGAACAAAGTTCTCAGGACGCCACCCACCCAGCTGGGCCCAAGACACAACCTTCCCTACAGAGACAGGTCAAGGGGAGGTGGGCCCAGGGGCTCCGTACCTGAATACAGACTTGACGTGCAACATGAGCTCTGGCCCAATGCCATCCCCTGGGATCATGGTCACCGTGTGCCGCCCACCATACTTAGCCGACGGTGGCTGGAAGGAAGTTGGGGGGGTTGGACGGTGAAGGTGGGCCTTCAGTTCCCTTCCTCCCACCAGCACTGGACCGGCCAATCGCAGGGTGCAAGCTTGGGGTACCTAACCCCCACGCCCTACCCCATGCCATCCCAGACAGGGCTGCTCATGGGGGCTCCTTGGTCAGGAGGACAGCAGCAGAAGCAGTCCTCACCCCAACCTGGACTTGGGTCAATCCCAAAGCAACTAAAAGCCCCAAACCTAACAGGCAGATGAGAAGAATACTCACAATTGTATGTTGCTAGAGGGGGACAGGAAGGAAGAAGACACGGATCAGCCAAGTTGGAGGAACAAGGCTATGCCCAGGGAACGGGGCCTTTTCCCTGGGGACGCTGTCTAGCACAGTTCACGTAAGGAGACCGCGCCTCAGAGGGAAGGACACGGAAGGCCAGGGAGCAAAGAGGCATGGCACACTCACGAGCACGTGCACATGCATGTGTATACACACATGCACATACAAAAACACATATACACAAACACACATGCATGCACCCATACACACATGCCTCTGCACACACACACACAACAGGTGCACACACGCACAAGCACAAATATACACATGTGCAACCACAGACATACATGTGCATGCACACACCCAGGCAGCTACTTACTGAGAAGCTCCTCCAGGGGGCCCCGTGGGCACCTAGAACCTGGCAAAGAGAAGGCAGATGCCAGTGGTTGTTGTCCAGCCCAGAAAGTCAATGTGGCAAGGGCCAACTGAGCTCGTGGCAGGGAAGAGGGACGGTCCCCACCGTGCCCAGACGCGTTCTCCCCCTCCACCTCACCCACGCACCACCGTCCAGCGAACAACAGCACACAGCGTGCACCAAGACAAATGGCTCCAGAGCCTCCATGTCCCAAGGACCGGCCCGTCGGAGCACCACAGAGAGTCGTTACAACCCTGCAGGCCTCCTTCAGCTCTGTGGTCAGTTGTTTAAAAAATGTTTATGTCTCCTCCCCCCGTTCTTGTTTCTGATTCTTTTGTGGCCACTTACTCCTGCTCAGCGATGTCTGTAACGTAGAAAAGTTGGCCCACTGAATGTGGTACAATAGGGAAGTCGTTATAACAAACCACAGGACCACCATAACGATTGTCTCATTGTTTCTTCATCATTTTTCCTTGTTGAAAAGCAGCATATGGTCAGAACAGGAAGAAGATCCAGAACATGGAGACCAGAAAAAAAAAGCACCCAGCCCCCCGTGGCCCCGGAGACAAGCACCATCAGCCCTGTGGGGACTGGCCCTCCAGAATCAGAAACCCAAAGCGAATGTGCAGGGAAAACCTCCAACCGTTTTTCTTTTTTTTTTTTTTTTTTTTTGGTGAGAAAGATCAGCCCTGAGCTAATATCCATGCCAATCCTCCTCTATTTTGCTGAGGAAGACTGGCCCTGAGCTAACATCTATTGCCAATCCTCCTCCTTTTTCTTCTCCCCTTTTTCTCCCCAAAGCCCCAGTAGATAGTTGTATGTCATAGCTGCACATGCTTCTAGTTGCTGTATGTGGGACGCCGCCTCAGCATGGCCGGACAAACGGTGCATCGGTGCATGCCTGGGATCCGAACCCGGGCCGCCAGTAGCGGAGCATGTGCACCTAACTGCTAAGCCACGGGGCCGGCTCCCAACCGTTTTTCAAAGAATAACAGACATCAATCCTTCAGAAGGTTTTCATTGCAAAGAATTGCAAAACTGCTTTGTGACCCACACGGATGACAAATGTCCCCAACTCCTTGACTCGGAAACAGCAATGTTTGGCTACTTTGGTGCCATGCCCGATAGCTTCAGAGCAAAAGCCACCCGAGCCAAATGGGACAGGTGCTGAGAAGTGACGTATCTGGAGTCATCTCACATTGTCCCTGTGTGCCCCAGGTCCCACTGCAGGGGGCCTAAAGGCCCACACACTTTCCTCCCTGCTGTGCCCCACCTGAGAATACACCTGGGGATCCCTCAGTCCAAAGAGGCAAGAGCAGAGCCAAGGTCCTCCCTGTCACTTGAGGATGCCCTGCCACTTGCCTACTGGGGAAGCAGCAGAGTGTTCCAGCCAATGGCAGAGTCACTGTGGCCATTTTCCAAAGAGCTGTGCCTTCCTGCTAGAAGTCTAGAAAGCTCAGGCAGACGCTGACCATCCCTGTCTGGGTCTCCCTGGCAAGTATTCACAAAACTTCCACTTGCGTGAGCTCTGGCAGCACAGGTGTGCCACTTACCTGCCCAAGCCAGGGGCTAAGGTGCGGGTGACTACCAGGACAAGAGGCTCCGGGGATATCTGCTGATCCATGTGGCTCCTGGATCTGCAGCCACAGGGACATTTGGGGCTTTTCTGTTTTCCTTTTAGCATTTCTCAGTATCTGGATTCATTTTATTTGTAGGCTCTCATACAAACTTGTGGAAGGTGGCTTAGACTGCTCTTCCTCCAGGAAGTCTTCCCTGATGCCCTAAGGCCGCCAAGCTGTCAGTCCCCCTGGGCTCCCAAAGCCCTACGTATCCTTCCCCCACAACCACAATCTCCCTAGGTTGTCGCTGCTTTACTCCCTCCCTAACCCCTAAGCCCCTGAGAGTGGAGGCCATGTCTGTCCGGCCACTTGCTGTACCCCAAGACCCAGCAGAATGCCTGGCCCAGAGCGGGGACACAAGAAATATTTCCTAACTGAATGAGCACATCAGAAAATGAAGGAAGAGATGGTAGGCTTTGGGGCTAGGAAGACTTTGATCCAAATCCACCACCCACGACTCCTGGTACCAAATGGCTTGACCTTGCCGCACTTCCCACCCTCACCTGAACTCCAAGGACAAAGGCGCCTCTTTTATGTGACTGCTGGAAGGATGAAGTGAGAGGAGGTATGCGAGCTGTTCTGGCCCTAGCAGGGCACATGGGGCCATGCAAAAGCACGCCCGTCCCTTCACCACACCAGCCCCTTAGGCCAGTGTTCAAGGTCGGTGTCCAATGTGGGCACACTGGGCTCACCCCTGCAGCTCCCGACAGTTATTCCTCCTGGGCTTCAGCCCTTTGAAGTCCGCTGGCTCTGGGCAGGGAACTCAGCCGTGGTAGTGAGTCAGCAAATGCACAGGGCCCGGCTCTGCATCTGTGCAAACTCCATTCCTTGGATCACATCACCATAACCAGGGCTGCACCTCTCCCTCCACCTGGTCCCTACGCTAGACGTTCCTTCGGGCTTTGGCCAAAGAACCAGGGGGCTCTCAGGATAGAGACCTCTCTGACCTTGCTCTGGACAGATGCAGGCACATTCCTCCAGGGGTTACAAAGGTTCTGCCTCACACCCAGGCTGCCCTGTACAGCTACCCATCAAAGGAGCCCAGTAGGAGGCAGGATGGGATATATGCACAGGCCTCCTGCTTGTATGTCAGCCCTCGGCCATGGTGGTATGTGTTCCCACCAAAGGGCTCCCACACCCCACATCTTAGTGAGGCTTCTCTCTTTGGCATGTTTCTGTCGGATCGAGTGCCAATGGTGGCTGCTTGTTTTCCCACAAGGTCTCGATTAGTAAGACCAAAGATCTGGGGTTCATCTCTAAAGGGTCCCATACCTAGGACAATCAGTTTCAGGGCAAGGGACTGCCTGGCTACCAACTGTTCACTGCTCCCCACCCCACCCAACAGTGACACAAGCACACACACAGGAGGTCACGGAGGACACAAATGTCTTCACCAAGACGCTGCGGGAGCCTAGCTGCCAGAGCTGTCAGGGCCTCTGGAAAGGCTCTCATCAGCAAGGTGGGAGAAGGAGCATTTTAAACAGAATTTCATAAAGCATAAACTGTTACAGGGCAGTCTTCCCCAGGGGTCAGAGGGGGAAAGCATGACAGGAGATGTGTCCAGAAGGAGTGTCAGCAAAGTCACAGGGTTCTGGAAGGTCAGAGTTGGCAGGATCCTTTGAGGCAAAGGGAAAACTAGAGCCCAAAGAGAGGAGGAGACTGGCCTAAGGGCATACAGTGGGTCACTGAGGGAGCCAGGCCTAGAGGTCATATCTCCTGTACCCCAGGGCCAGTCCTGGCTCGCTGATGCTTCAGATGGCTTCCAACCCACCCACGGACTAAATTATCCTCATTTAAGTGTGTAAAGAGAGAGGAATCGGACCTGAATAACCAAGATCCTAAACCAAGAACTGCGGAAACAAAGCCCTCGCGGCCTCCCACCCACCCAGCCTCAGAAACTCTAGCTCCCTCCCATTCCAGGCGCTTGCAAAGGAAAAGCATCTGGGGCTATAAGAATGTCGGGGGGAGGGGGTGAACTCGGAGGTACTGGCAAAGGCTGATTTTCCACCTCCATTGGGACAGGTGGCAAAGCGGTCCACAAAAGCGAAACCCCATGAGCAACGGCGGCCGGGAACGGGATTCCCAAGGCGGCAGGAGCAAGGGGGCCGAGACATGTGACTGCCTCGGGAGGGCTCCCACAAGGACACTAGGGAGGTGACACTCGGCCCGCAGCGGCCCACTCTCCCTGCCTGTCCAGAGCTCCCCGGTCACAACATGCAGACCCCTGGGGAAGCCGGACCAGGGCCAACTTTGTCCAAGTCCCTCACTGACAGCGAAGGCGGCCAATCAACCCCTGCGCGTAGCCCTCTCCCCCGCCCCTCGCGGCGCTCGCAGCCAATCCGACTCCAGGACGCTTTGGACGCTTTGCCCCCGCCCCCCCCCCCCCCCCCCCCCTTTCCCCCCCCCGGCCAGCCAGCCTGACGTGCAACGACCCCCAGCGAGCGCTGCGGCTGTCCCCGCAGCCCGCTCCCCCTTCTCACCTTCCAAGGACGGCAGAGGAGGGCCGGCCTGAGCACTGCCTTCGCAGCGCCGCCAGCGGCCGTCGCCACCTTCAGCACCATGACGGATAGTGAGAGCCGCCACACGCAACACGCAAACACCGCTCTCGCGACAGTTAGGCAGAGCGTGAAGTCCCGGGAGCAGGCGCGGACCTGGCAGTGCGCACGCGCGCGGCCGCGCCGGTCCCCATGCCCTCTTCCGGCACTGGGAGCGCCGCTGTCGCCGCCGCCGCCATCTTGAGGGGGGCGGCCAGCTGGGGCACTGGTCCTGGCAGGGGACACGTCAGTGCCGCCAGCGACGTCACAGGCCTGCCCGGCTCGCCAGCGCCTGATTGGCTGCCGCGGCCGCTTACGCGTCGCTCTTCCTCGTCTGCCCCTCGTGTTCAGGGGAGTCTCTCTCTTTTTTCCTCGGCATAGAAGAGGCGATGGCGGCGCTGGCATCTCTGGGCGCCCTGGCGCTACTCCTGCTGTCCGGCCTCTCCTGCTGCTCAGGTAGCGGCCTGGCCGGAGCTTCGTTTCTGGCGAGCCTGTCTCCCACGACTGGTGGTGCGTGGGGGGAGGAGGGGTGCGGGCGAAACGGGGCTCTGGGCCTTTCTCTGAGAGGCAGGTAGCGTCGGGGCACGGCGACCGAGGCCACCATGCGCTCCTGCACTACACACGTTTACCCAGCAGCCAGGCTGTTCGAAGAAACAGCCAAATCTTTCCCCGGTCTGCTCCTGCGAGGAAGAGTCCCAGAGCCTCTCCCGTGCGCGCCTGGCTGCCACCTCCTGCAGGGAAAGTGACACACGTCCCTACTCCCTCTCCCAGAGCTCCCGGTTCCGGAGGGGGTCGGACAGGAGCAAACCTGTACAGCGCAGGGCGATCAAGGCGAGAAACTGGGTTGGTGGAGAGGAGCCACTTGACCCGGTGCAGTGGGGCCAGGCCTCCCCAGGAAGGGAGCTCTAAGTGAAGAGGCGAAGCAGGAGCGGTCCAGGTAGAGAGACCATGAGCGTGGGCGAGTTAGATAGGAGCTGAAGAGGGAAAGGTAAGCGGGGACCATGAATGCCAGGCAAGACTGTTGACTTTTTCCCTGAGGACCTGGTGTACCGTTAAAGGGCTTTTCAGCAGAGCTGAGCCACAGTCAGATCAGTTTCCATTCTTGAGAGGTTCTTAACACCTAGCCGCCTGGTTGAGCTCAGACTGGAGCCCAGGAATGTTTAGGAGGAGGTGCTTGCAGGAGCCAGCACCAGGTCTGGGGGTCTGGACTGGGTCGGGTCCACTTTCTGCACATTCAGTTTACCTGCCCTACTCCAGGCCAGCACTCTTGGTGCCTCGAGTGTTTCACCAGCTTGACTGGCCTCCCTGCCTGCACTCTTCTCACCTGCCCCTCAGCAATTCCTCATGCTGTAGCCAGTGATGTCTGCAAAGAACAAACCTGGCTGTGAAACCTTGCGGTGCTCTACAGTGTCCAGAGGAAAAGGGTCAAGCTTAGCAGGGCACAGAAGGATCTGTGGGATGTGGCTCCTGAGAACAGAGACGCGCCCCCCACTGATGTTCCCAGGCATCTTCCTCCCATTGTCTAGACCCAAAGCCTTCTCTCTCTCTGCCTCAGCCCAAGGCATGGCTCTGCCGCGACACCACATTCAAGAGCAGTTGGCTGAGAACTTGCTCGCTGGTGGCGTTTCCTTGGCACCCTGTGACTTAGGTAGCACTCTTCCCTGTAGCCTCTAGCAGTGTGGAGATGGCTAAGGCAGCATCCTTTCTCTCAGGGAAGCCCTGTTCAAGGGGAAAAGTTCTGCTGGATCCAGAACCTCTCTCATTTTCTTCCCTCGGGAAACTCTAGGGCCAGTCTTGGCCTTCTGTCAACTGTGGCTCTGAAACCTCCAGGCGTTGCCAGCAGCACCATGCTTGGCATCTGCGGAGGATGCCTTCGGTAAACTGTCCAGAGCTGTGCATGGCTCTGAACTGAGGTCGGCCTGCTCCCCTGGACCTCTGGGGGTGCTCCAGGCCAGGGCAGGCTGCAGCCCCAAACCAGTGCATGGCTTCCCTGTCCATAGGTCCAGGCAATGAATCCATCCAGCTCCGTGACCACACCCTCGCCTGCTCTTCTTTTGCCCTTGCATTGAGGTTCCACCTGTACAAAGCCTTCCCATCCTCCCCTACTTTCTTCAAGGCCATCCCACCCCCCTTGCCACTGTGCTTCTAACTGATCATCTGGATCTGTCTCCCACACCCCACCTGGCAGGGTTCAAAGGGCTCTGTGTGCCCTCAGCTTATGAGGTCTGGGAGGTGGAGTCGGGGTGGTCCCTTCTTGCCCCCCAGCCCAGTGCGCAAAACCCAGGCATCTCTCTGCCTCCTCCCTGCAGCAGAGGCCTGCGTGGAGCCCCAGATCGCCCCTTCCTACTACACCACCTCGGATGCTGTCATTTCCACCGAGACTGTTTTCATTGTGGAGATCTCTCTGACGTGCAAGAACAGGGTCCAGGTGAGGCAGTGGAGGTTCAGCCAGGAGGGTGCTGGGGCGAGAGGCGGGCAGTGAGCCTGGGACCTTGATCAGATCTTCACTGGCAGTTGACAGGGTCAGACTTGGGAAGCCGTGTGGACAGAGGGAGTATAAGAATTTTGATTCACAGGTGAAGGATAGATCAGGGCACAGCTAGGCCAGATTCTGGCAGGTGTTATTTTATTTTTTTTGTGAGGAAGATCAGCCCTGAGCTAACATCTGTGCTAATCCTCCTCTTTTTGCTGAGGAAGACCGGCTCTGAGCTAACATCTGTTGCCAATCCTCCTCCTTTTTTTTTCCCCAAAGCCCCAGTAGATAGCTGTATGTCATAGTTGCACATTCTTCTAGTTGCTGTATGTGGGACGCAGCCTCAGTGTGGCCGGAGAAGCGTTGCGTCGGTGCGCGCCCGGGATCTGAACTCGGGCCGCCAGTAGTGGAGCGTGCACACTTAACTGCTAAGTCACAGGGCCGGCCCTCTGGCAGGTGTTTAAAGTACATTCTCCTCACCTGCCTGGTCTACTCTGCCTAGGTGAGATAACAGGTAGACACCTTGCTGTGTCTTGAAAGAGTGTATGTGGGAAGTGAGAAACAGCTAGGGGTCAGCCTCCTGCATCCCTTTTCCAGTTGCACTTTGCCAAGGTGTGTGTCCACATAGGTGTCTTGTCATTTCCAGACTGGGCAGCCCTGGCCTTGGCCCCTGACCTTAACCTGTATCCCAAAGGCCCGAAGAAAGAAGTGAGGCCTTTTTGGGTACAACACTCCTTGAGCAGTTCATTGGGTGCCCCCTGACCCCAGCACCCCCTTCCAGGCTCAGAAATAACGAGGACACTTCAATCATCCCACCCCTGTTCACAGTTAACAGGTTTGCTGTGGGTTAGGGAGGCCAGGCCATAGGGGGATGTGCCCCCCACCATGGGCAGACAGATGCAGAGAGGCAGTGACAGCATTGGTGGGTGTTGGCTCCCTGGCACAGCTCTGGGTTGTGGCAGGCCTACCTCCATGGTTCTCACGTGGTGCCTCCTGCCAGACACACTGCAGTCCCCAACCGTGCCCAGCCTCCCTGCCCGCAGGGCATACATGCTGCTGTGGGCAGCACGGTGGGGCCTCTGCTGACAGCCAGAGAGGAAAGAAGGTGACTCTCCCTTTGTCCCCGCCCCCAGAACATGGCTCTTTATGCTGATGTCAGTGGAAAACAATTTCCTGTCACCCGGGGCCAGGATGTGGGGCGTTATCAGGTAAGGGATGCCGCAGTCGTCATTTTGGGGGGAGGCCACCTGCTCACAGGTGTGACGTGAAGCCCTAGGGGTGGCCCGGTCAAGCAGGGTCGGGGTTCTTTGCCTCAGAGGGGCCCTGATGTCTCCACTTTGCCCACCCCCTGCCAAACCCCCAATCCAGGTATCCTGGAGCCTAGACCACAAGAGCGCCCATGCAGGCACCTATGAGGTCAGATTCTTCGATGAGGAGTCCTATAGCCTCCTGAGGAAGGTGAGCATCACCAGGAGCCCTGCCCAGGCCTGCAGGAGGGAGGGCACACCCCACTTCCACAGCCATCTCCACCCTGCAGTCCCCTCTTCCTGGGGCTCTGGGCCACAAGGGGCCTCGCTTATGCAGAGCAGGATGGCCAGGTGGGCACCTTCCTGTCTGCCCACTCGCCCCACTGTCCCTGCACTTTTGTATCTTTTTCCTCTTCTCTTCCATGACTCCGGCCAGTGTTCCTGCCTCTCCTGCCCCTCCCCAACCCATCCGGCAGTGCCCCCCTGACCCCAGCACCTCCCTTGCAGGCTCAGAGAAATAACGAGGACGTTTCCATCATCCGGCCCCTGTTCACAGTCAGTGTGGACCATCGGGTGAGTGGGCTGAAGAGGCTGATCCGATCTCAGGGGAAGTGGGGAGCACACAGCAAGCCTCACCCTTTTTGGGGGTTGAGGGCTTGGCTGTAGTCAGCCAGTGGGTCTTCCTGCCCCAGAAGGAGGGTGACTGGGGCAGGCCGGCCCCCTCACTCGGCCCTCCCCTGAGCTGGCTTTGGTCTCCTTTCTTGCAGGGCACCTGGAACGGGCCCTGGGTCTCCACTGAGGTGCTGGCCGCAGCCATCGGTCTAGTCATCTACTACCTGGCCTTCAGCGCCAAGAGCCACATCCAGGCCTGAGGGCGGCCCCCCTGCCCCCTGCTTCTTTCAATAAACGGTCACTGGCGTTGCTGTGCTTCCACACACAGGCAGAGCCAACGGCCAGCATCCCCCGTCCCCTCCCTCGGTCTCGTGCATTTGCTTCGCTTTTTGCCTTCGCATGCTCTCTTTCCTCGACCCCCACTTAGGCCTTTCCCTGACTGGTGTCCCCAGTGCCCAGTGTCTACCTTCTGTTTCTCCCAGTTGCCTGCATGGTTTTGGGTGGTGCATGGGGTTGCCCCTCCCTCCACTCCTGCCCTCTTTTGGCAGAGAGGACTGCCTTGTTCTCTCCTGCCGTCACCCAGTCCCCTGGTGGAGATGTGTCTGTCTGGCCTGCTGGTTGTGGGTCTTCCTGTGGCCCATCTAGGGAAGGGCCTTCTGCCTTTGGGAGGGCAGCTGCCCAGAGAAGGTGGGGGGCCCTTCCCAGCTTCTCCAAAATCCCACAGTCAGCAACATGTGGAGACACAGCCCCGCCTGGCCCGAGCCACACACTGAAGTGCTTTCCACACTTTTCCTGTGGAGTGCCGTGAGCACCCCATGTTGCTGATGCAGTGGAAGATGATACACCCGGCAGCTGTTGGGAGTCATTCCAGGCCTACGCTCCTACCCCTCCACATGGCCTCCCTGTGTGCTCCCACGTCATGGTGTCAGGTGGGGCACGTAGAAGGCACAAGAAGGAGAAGAGATGACCCGGAGCCCACTTTTCTGAGGAGCCCATTGCTAGCCTTTCCCTAGTGCCACTGGTATCTGGAAAGGTGGTGAGGGCTCTGGTGCAAATCCCAGGGGATCCATTCCCAGCTCCGTGGTTCTAGTCGGTTTGCTCAGCTGTGACGTAGTGACTGCGTTCTCCGGGATGTCTGAGGGGTCATTGGGGCCAGCTGGCAAGGCCCCTGGCAGCCTGGTGCTTGATCACCACAGCTGTTACTGAAGAGAAACGGCTGTGTGGGTAACATGGTCAAAACCCCCATAGAGGCTGCATTTGAAAAGGAGGGTAGGCCTGAAACCTACCTGGGAGGGAGGGCTCCTCAGTACCTAGGCTCTGTCTTCTGAGGCTGTGGGAGGGGCTGCGAGCGTGGAGGATGAGGGTGGCTTGAGACCCAGGACTGCCTGGGGAACCTCCTCCAGATAAGGGGGCACCATCCTCAGGAGGTGGGTTGGGGTGAGGGCAACTGGCAGGAATGGGGAGGCTCCAGGAAAGAGCTGGGTCCTTGGTCCCAAGGCAGGAGTACAGAACGCGAGTTGGGGCTGAGAGTCCCCTCAGGACCAGGCCAGGCCAGACCACTGGCTGGTGGGGTTTCTGGATTCCAGAGAAAGACTAGTGGTGGGAGCTCAAGGGGCACCTGCTGGTGGTGATCACTGCTCCCCCTCATTGCTAAGGAGCAAAGGGAAACGGGTCCTCACGTTCTGCCAACAGCCTGTGCAGGGCAGGTGCTCAGGGCCCAGGCAGGCAGGGCAGACAGTGGCAGCTGTCAGCCACCCAGTCGCTCTTTTTGATCCTGGCTCCACCATCCTGCCCAATGGCAGTGGGACCCAAATGTGAAGTCAGTGTTCCAGGGCATCAGTAGCCAAGGGCTGCTAGCCCTCCTGGTGCCACCTCTCTCTCCCAGAGCCAGTGTGAGCCGAGCCCCAGTGCTGGCTTTCAAACGGCAAAGGGACTCCAGGTTCTGGGCTTGTCCTGGCCCACATCCCAGAAGCACTGGGCCTTCAGCACTTCCCCCCACCCCCCAGGGCAAGAATGGAGCGCCTCTAGAGCCATCACAGTGGGCCCCCCAGCAGCTGGAGAAGGATGCCCAGGGAACAGTTGGCCCTGGTTTCCAACTCCAGCCAGTTTTCTGGGACAAAGGCCAGGCCCTTGGAGCCCCAACTGCCTCCACGGAGGTCTGTATGGAGCCCGAGTGTCCCGAGTGTCCCTTCCTGAGAACAGGGAGCTGGTTGCAAGAGTCATGTGCCTAGCCCTCAGCTCCAGAGGACTTGGAGGGCTGAGAGGAAGCTAGTGTCTCCCATTCACCCCTTTTCAGCAACAAGCCCTTCCCTTCTGCTGCTTTTCCCTGGCCTGCTGTGCGACCCATGTGAATGCCGATGGATGCGGCCAGCACCCTCGAGGGCCAGCCTTCCCAGCAGGGCACTCAGCTTCTGGGAACCCCCACTCAGCTTTCTCGCTCATGCCCATTTCTGCACATTAGAGGAATTAACAAGAGGTCTGCATTTCCGTTTCAAGAGAATTTTAATGCATCCTCTCCTACTTCAGCTGCTGGCAGTGTCCCGTGTTTGTCCGGGAAACTGAGCTCCTCGGCCACGCCACCCGCTCCAGGGGGCACCACGCACACAACAGGCCATGCCCGTGGTGCCCCTGCAGTTGCTGTCTTTGGGGCCCTGGCCCCCACCCAACACTTAGCATGGTTCCTGGCACGTAGGAGATGCTCGATGGTTTGCTGCGCTAAATGGAACCTCAAGCATTTGGCTGCCCCTTCTGAGCTGGAAGGGCCCTCTGCGGCCAGCCGAGTGTTCATCCATCTGGCCAAGGCCAAGACATTTACTAAGCCTCTTCTCCATGCTAGGCACTGGGGGTCCCCAAGCAGGGAGAGTAGCTTCTGCCTTCCAGAAGCTCTCAGCTCTTTGTCCCTGCCAGGGCTCTTCCTGAGGTGGAGGGGAGGGGGAGGGTGGAACCCACTTCTCTCAGGCTCCACCAGAGCAGGGATGTTGGCCTCATCCATATGCCAGTGGCAGGCCCCACAGCCAGTCCTGAGCCAGGCCTCTGCCATCCTTCCTGCAGCTGGGTGCCATGCCTGTGACCATGTCACATCTCTGAAATGATTCAGGTGACTGTCATCTCTCCTGCCAGAGTACAGGACACTGACTTCAGAAGACCTTGCTGTTCCTCAGTGACAAATCAAGAAAGAGCTGAGTCACAGCTTTCAGTTGATCCCGCCCAGCCCCTCACCCTCACCCCACCCCCCCACACCCCTACTCTGCCCAAAGCTGATGCTGACACCTCTTCTCCCAGCACAATGAGAATGAACACAGGGAGGCCAGGAGTCACAGTAAAAAGGCAGCTTGCTTTATTCTTGCAATGCCGGTGGGGGGCAGGGGCAGGCAGCCTGTCTGCCTCCAATCTGAGGCTCTGAGCCACAGGGGCCTGAGGCCAGCTCTCACTACAATGCACAGGTCCATGAGGGCTGCCTAGTCCACACTTGAAAAGTGGGGTGCCAGGCATCTTTCCCCCCAATCAGCCCAGCTGGCCAGGCCAGCCTCTCACTTGGGTCCAGGCCCCTCCCTCAGCTCTGTGTGCGTCTTGTCACCAAGGTCTTCTGTTGCTACTCATGGGGCTTGGCTTCTGGACCCCTCACAGTCTAAGCGTGCCCCTCAGGCCACTCAGAAGAGAGTGGCGCTCCTGATGGCATCAGGCACAGGCCCGGGCTCAGTTATTTCTTGGACAGACACTGTCCCCTCAGTCCCTGCAGCCTCGGCTCTCCCTCAGTCACTGGGGAAGGAGGTGGCTCCCAGGGTGATCCTCGTAAGCCACGTCAGAGGCTTCCAGTCCCCATATCTCAGAGTGGAGGCCACCAGAAAGCTGCTTCCCATTCTCCCCTTCTTTCCCACCCCTTCCCTACCCCCACAGCCCTCCCTCTCCCCCCCACCTTCTTCCCAGCCATCAATCGGGATTCCACCTTTTGTCAGTTTGCCTGAAGGAGCTGCCAGCCCCCAGAGCAGGTCCACAAAACAGAAAAACAACAACTGGCAAGCACAGAAAGGGAGAAAAACCACAAAAATCAGGGTTGCCTTTGTCTACAAATAATGGAGGCTCCCAGCAGCAAGAGAGGCTGTGCTCAGGTCGAAGCCGGGCCTTCTCTTGTGCTTAGGACAGTCCTCTTCGCTGCTCCTTGTCAGCTCAACTTCCCTGCCCCCAAGGACCACGCTGAGAGAACTCTGGAGGGGTGTGCAAATGTGCATGCACGTGCATGGGCTCCGTGTCACACACACACATGTACACAGCTGAAGGGGTGTCCGTTATAGGTCTGCCCCCAATGCCAGCCATCGACGTGGTCACTGTACTTGGGGAGAAGGAAGTAGCCGATGCCGAGAAGTGTCCCTTCTCCTCATGGGCTTCTCTCAGGTAACAAAGACCCGTGCACACACAGACACACACTAGGTTCTAAGAGAGAGTAGGAACCGGGTCCCAGTGGGGCAGAGGGCCCGCCCTGGAGCGTAGCCAGGCTCCTGTCTGGGCAGCTCAGACAGTGGTGACTGAGAGCAGTGGGTTGTAGACCCGCTTGCCGTCGGCCGAGCGTGTGCCGTGGGCCAGCATCTCCTGGATGGTGATCCAGTTGTCTAGGATCTTCTTGTTCCGCTTCTTCATGGTTTTGCGGTGGCTCAAGGCGATGATGTTGAGCTCTGCCTTGCTGTCGCCGTTCTGCTGCTCCCTCAGGCACTCCAGCCTGCTCTGCATCATAAACTCGCGCCGCTTCCGCTGCTCCCGGGCCCGGATCAGGTGTTGCTTCCGCTCCTCCTTGCTCCAGTACCGGCCCATCTTCATCTCGCTCACCGCATCATCATCGGTGGTCATACCGCTGCGCTCCTCCCGGATCTTCAGGGCCCGGGCCTTGAGGAGGCGATCACGCACTGGCCGCTTGGCCACATAGCGGGTCCCATCACTGCGCACCTTGACCTTCCACTCCATGCGCGGCGCTTCAGTGGCCACCGCTGCCCCGCCCACCCGAGGGCCGCCAGCCAAACTTAAGGGGCTATGGCCCAGCTCTTCCAGGCCACGTGGCGGGGCCAGCTGCATGCAGCTATGGTAGTGCTCGCTCTCCTGGCCCTGACCACGGTGGCGCCGTGAGAGGTAGGGGCTTCCTTCAGGGCCCAAGCGCTCCAGGGTCACCCCCGTCTTGGGGCTGCGGCGGACGCGCTCCTCTGAGTGCTGTCTCCGGCCCATCTCAGGATCCCGGGATAGGGACCGGAACTTGGCGGGGCTCCCCTGCGGAGCAGCGGCCTTGGGGTGGGTGGTGACAGGGGGGCCAGAGGGGGGCCGGTTCAAGTTGGAGTTGCCAGCAGCGGCCCGCCTCAGGGGGCTCTCCTGCAGGGGCTCTGCGAGCAGCGGGGTGCTGCGGCAGCTCTCGCCTGTGTTGTAGGCACTGGTGCTGTCCTTGTCCGACTTCTCAGGCAGCTCCGAGATGTCGGACAGCTCATGCTTCTTGGGCTCACTGGCCCCCAGGTCATAGAGGCTCTCCTCCTCCAGCAGCCAGGCCTTCATGCAGCGCTCCCGCAGCTGCTGCATCTTCTGTGCCCGCAGGATGTTGCGACACTTGAACTCCAGGTGTCGCAGCTCCTCCTCTAGCATGGCCATCTCGTGGCCCAGGCTCTCGTTGCGGTTGACATCCAGGGCGCTGTTGCCACTGGAGGCCCGGGGGAAGAGGAGGCCCAGCTGGTTGCCATTCTCCAGGTGGCACTTGATCTCCAGCAGCTCCCGGTAGCGCTCGTATTCCTCGTCTGTGAGGCCCGGGATGTCGCCCCCCCCCAGCCCTGCCCCCTCAGCCAGCAGGGAGTCCATGCTGAAGTGGAACTCACGGCTCTGCAGGGTGTCCCCTTGCAGGCCAAACTTGCGCAGGGTCCCGGGCGTGTTGGTGGCGCTTGGGGGCTCGTCCCCCAGCAGGTCGTGCTCTGAGCTCTCCTCGTTGCGGGTGCTCTCGTCAGTCCGGCCCACCCCACTGTCCAGCTCCTGACTGTTGCTCAGGCCTGGGCCTACATCAGGGGCCCCTTTCTCCTCCTCGTTTCCAAGCTGGGGCAGAAAGACGAGCCTCGCTCAGTCTGAGTCCCACAGGCGGGGACGCTGCAGGAGCCTCGGGATATGAAGGGCTTTTGGGTCTGATCTATTTCCCAGCCCCGGGTCCCCCCTCGCTCTTCCTCCTGCTTGCCCTCCCAATCACCCATCCTTCCTCACCTGCTGGACAGGGGGGGACTTTGGCTTCCTGGAACGCAGATCCCCCTCATTCTCAGAGCCAAAGTCATCCAGCAAGTCATCCCGGTCACTGTCCTTCCACCGCTTCGCCAGCTGCAGAGACAGGCCCATGCTGTCCCCACTGCTTTAAGGACATCCCCAGACACCCCTCTGGTCACCTCTAGTTCCCATACCCAGCCTTCTGGTCTCGATGAAGTCAAACAACCCAAGAAAAGAGGCAGTCCCAGCCCTCTCAGCCGTCAGAGGCTGGAAGAGGAAACAGGCTCCAGCAACAGCCCTCCCTCCATCAGTGCCAGGTTGTTGGTGCCCTTGTCACAGATCAGCAGCTTCCAAGACAGAAACCCCAATGTCAGGGGACCCAGGACACCCTGCCAGGAATACACACCTGGCTCTCAGGCCGAGCAACCAGCAGGGAGATGTTGGTGTTCTCCTCCTGGCTCAGGATAGCCACTGCTTCCTCCCGGTTCTGGACGTCCACACCATTTATCTGTAGCAGGCCAAGTGACAATCAACAAAGACACCAGGTCTGGCTCTAGGGTGACCCTTGGTTGAGCTGCAGGGACCCCCTGGCAGGGAGTTTCAAGCCAAGCACCCCAGGTTAGCACAAGCTCTTGGGCTCTGGCAGGATGGAAATAAGTGGAAGGTGCCAGGGGAGAGGAGAGCCTGGCCGTGAAAAAGCACATGTGCTCAGAGAACAACCCCAAGTGGGAGACGTGCTCATGTCTGGGGACAGAGGGAGAGGCTGGCAAGGTGCCAGAGTAGCATGGGCCCTCAACGCCAGCAGATCCCATGGGCACACAGGAACCGCCAGGGCAGTCGTGCAGGAGAGCCCAGGTTCAGGCACAGCAGGATGCCTGGCATCAGGCTAGACTCTTAGCAGGAGAGAGCTGGGATGGGCTAAGGAGAGGTGGCAGGGCAGCCAGCACAGCGGCGCCTTGAGTCAGGCCTGCCCATGCTCACCTGGATGATACGGTCTCCCTCACGGATCCGGCCATCTTTGGCTGCAATGCTGTTGGGATTCACCTGCAAGGCACACGCATCATGAGGACTTGGCACCCTCCACTAAGATGCCTTTCAGTAGGAAGGAGCAGCCTCGCCTTGGGGGCCCCCAAAGCAAACTGAAGACTCCTTCTTGCTTGCTCCCTCTTCAGCTCAGACCAGCAGCTTCCAAGCTCCAGGAGGCAGGGACAGAACAGTGGGCCCAGGGCTGGTCTCCTCTCCCCAGCAAGAGCCACCAACTCACCAACTAAAAGCTCCCCAGCCCCTGCCCACCACCCCCACACACCCATGCCCATGCCCCCGGCTGGCGCTCGTACAGTTGTGCATGGAAGCCTGTTCTTTTTTGTGTCAGAGGCTGGGCAAACACAGGAAGCTCGATACTTTCCCATACTCAAAACAATCAGCCCTGGGGGAGAATGAGTCCTCTGAGTACCAGGCCCCGGGAGGGAGAACAAAGCCTGGCCAGGAGCTCGTCCTGCTTCGGCCTTGCCTGCTGTTCCTCACCAGCCAGCAGCCTCCCCATGATGCTCAGCAGGCCCTAGGCCTGGCAGCTAAGTCCTTAGGGGCAGCCTCAGAGCCCTGGGCAGTGTGGAGAGGCTGTGGTGACAGGATGGTGTGGGGACTCTCCATGTGCCAGCCCCTGGCTCAGCACCCACCACCTTGGCGCCCCACACCCCCTGACTGGTGCTGTACTGATGGGCATGGTCAAAGTCTAGCTTTGATGTCCCAGCACACAGGAAGGTGGCATAGGGCTCCACTGCCTTCTAGAAGACCCCACCCCTTCACACCGCCTTCGTACCTCTCCAACATAGATGCCCAGGTCCTCCTCGTCATCTGTGCGGTAGCAGACCATCAGGCCCAGCTTGTCCCGGTGGCTGGTTTTATAGAGCTCCACCTCCTGCAACAGGGGGAATGCGGGAAACAGCAGAAGAAAGCCCCAGAAACATGTGAGCAAGGCCGCATGCTGCAGGGGCAGCAGCCATGGTCCAGCCCCCAACCCAGCAGCCTGTCATCTAGCTGAGTTTCCAGCCCCCAGCTGGGAGGGTCTCTCTTACCATCCCAAATGGTGCATGTGTCCAGTGGTCTCTTTACCAGGAAATGCCCAAGACACACATGGGACACGCGGGACGCACAGGACACAGACATGTGTGGGACGCAGACTCACCAACATAGACTGACCACGGGACCTTACCCGTGCCCTCCCCAACTCAGCCTGACTTGGCCCGTGAGCCTGAGTGACAGGCTGTGCATCAGGAGGGGCCACGAGGCCCAGCCGCCTGGGCGCAGCAGGAGCCAGGCCTGAGCTGAGCTACAGACAGCCATCCTGGGGCTGGCTCCCAGGCTCTGCCCTAACCTGGCCACCCAGCTCACCTCATACTCCAGCTCGTCCATACGGTCTGCCTCCTGTGGGCCGCCCTCCATGAACTCCGCTGGGTCATAATACTCATGGCTGATGGCGGGGCTGCCCAGAAGAAGGCAGGGTCAGGCTAGCCATCTGCTTCTCATGCCCTAGTCCCAGTTCCCGGGCTGGCCCATCCCAGCGCACTCAGCATGGAGCCCCGCTCCGGGTATACCCTCAGGGAGAGGTGGCTCGGCACCTCTTCCGTATTCTGGAACCCCCTTCCTTCTGAGCTACATGCATCCATGTGAAGACCAGGAATGCTTCTCGAATGGGAGTGTGCGGGGGTCTACTCTCCCTGCCCCATCCTGCCCTGTCCCCCTGCCCAGACTCTACCCCTGCCAGCCAGCAGAGACCAAATTCTCCAAACTGCAGGTGCCCCTCCCGTCCAGCACTGGCCCCACTCATGCAACGCCCCCAGGAGTTATCCAGGCCCCAGAGGACTGCTGGGGAATGGAGGAGGATGCACTCTACCTCCAGGGGCAGCCCTCCTTGCCCCAAGGCTAAGCTTGGCTGCTGGTGGCCCTGGGCCTACCTCTCTGCAGAGGAGGGGATCCCGGGACTGCCTCCCTGCAGCACGGGTTTAGACTAGCAGGAATGAGTCAATGCTCACACAGTCATGAGCCACCAGGCCTGGATGAGAAGCCCTTCTTCCGAGCGGGCCAAAGAAAGAAGCCGAAGAGATGGAGGAAATTCAGAGCAGATAGAGGGATGGGACAGACAAGGATGCAAGAAGATTCAAGGGGTGATGCTTGTGAGGCAGAAGACGATGGGGCGGCAGAGGAGAGAGGATGGAGAAGGAGCTGAGGACCTCAACCTTCTAGCAGCAAGGTCCCAGGACGGTCCTCCCTTGGCCCTGGGGTAGATACAACGGGGAGCCTGCATGTCAGCCTCCCCTGGCCCCTTCACCAGCTGGTGTCCAGCCTGAGGCTCGAGGCCAAGAGATTTCTGAGCCCTTGGGTGCCACAATCAGCTCTGAAGGTCAAGGAGCCTGCTTCCTGCCCGAGAGGGCAGGCCAGTCAGGGTCTCCCTGCCATACCCAGAGCTGCGGCAATGTAGCCTCAGGTGGCGGGGGGACAGCTGCCCCAGGTGGTGTGCCCTCTCTGGAGGCAGGTCCCGGGGGCCTCCTGAGGGCGACTCACAGCTCAGACAGGACATACGGCTCCAGGGTGACCATGGGTGGGGTGGGCGGGCGCAGCTTGCCCAGTGCCATGATGTGCTCGAAGGTGATGTCAGTCTGAGTGCCACTGTCCACCAGCTGTAGGTCTTGGCAGGAGCTGTCCCCCCGGAGGCGGGGGCTGCGTCTCAGCACCTGGATAACCAGGGGCTCCTTGGAGGAGCGCAGGGCCTCCAGGGTTTGCTCCTGAGACAACTTGGAGAGCTCCTTCCCGTTCACCTGTGGCAGAGACAGGCCCCCATGAGAACCCGCCACCTCGAGCCCCAGTCTACTCAACCAAGGGATCTGCTCTTTACCCTCAGCCCCGCTTCCCCTTGGCGCCCTCATTCCCAGGCAAACCCCACTTCTCAGCCCTGCCCCCACACAGTCTGTCAGGATGGCCAAGGAGCCCCAGTGACTGTGCATGGCGTCTGGGGGCTCTGCCCTTGCCCTAGAACATCCTTCAGCCCTCCTCCAGCAGGAGCCATCCACTCTTCTGTCCTCTTCACTCCAGGACCTGTTTCTCCTTCAGGAAGCACTGAGGCCAGAGCTAGCATCTAGAAGATGGAGGAGAGTCCCCCCTGGCAATGACCGAGCGTCTATTGTGCTCATCTGATATAAAGGCAGGAGGAAGACCTTGACTCCTCTCCTGATGGGAGTCAGTCAACAGGTTCAGGCGGAAGGTTCAGGAAGAGTAAGACAGGAAGGACAGGATCTGTCCTAAAGGCAGCGATGGACACGCTGAAGAGAAAAGGCCACCCTGAGAGCCAACTGGCATCGCAGGGCAGCCTAGGAGAGGTGCCAAGGAAGGGGCCCCTATCAGACCAACACCTTTCTTGGTTTCTTGGGCACCTGATGTGCGTCTCCCCCAAACCCTGACTCCGACAACCCATTCTGAAGATGAGACAACCGAGGCTCTACAAGACTAAGAGAGTGAGTCAAAGTCATGAGCCAGGCCAGGCTGCGCAGTGGTCAGAGTACTGGGGCGGGGAGGAGGAGGCCATTACAGGCTGGGGGCCAAGGAGAAGGCGAGATTGGAACAGCCTTGGGGGGAGAGCAGGATGATAGCCAGTGGAGGATGGAGGGCCTTCCAGGCAGAGGCCAGTAGAGTTCCAGGGCAGGGCCCCAGGTGGAAGGAGCAAGGCATGCCCTCAAGGCACCTGCGGGCAGAAGGCTGGCCCCAGCCCAGCCACTAATTTCTGCAGCAGCATGTGTGCGTTGGGCCTTGGGATGGTCACTTTCAAGCTAGTGAAGCCAGCACCATGCACTATGACCTTGAGGTCTTCCTTGGTGGGGAGGCAAGCAGACTAAGGATGGACCAAACACAGCCAGAATTCAGGGCACGGGTCATAGGGCCAGGGAAGGGGAATCGGGAAGCAGTTTCCAGAGGAGGGGGAATGGCAGGGTCTTCTCCCTCACTCAGCAGCCTGTGGAAGGGCTGTTCTGGGCCTGGGGAGGCCACATACTAGCGGTGACATCCCAAATGGCTACACCCAGCAGGTAAGCACTGAAACAGACCTCCGGGGTTGCCGCTAAGGAAGCCCAGGGCTGGCCACACCCCACCTACCTAGGAAAGAAGGTAGGGAAGGCTTCATGAGCAGCACCCCCACCACCACCTGGCCTGCATCAGAGGAGGGGGAGGGGCCAGGAAGAGGCTATGAGGCTGGCTTGCAGGCAGAAGCAAAGAAGCCAAGTCCCTGACAGTCAGCATGGAGAGCGCAGGCCCGGGACCCAGTGCCTGCCCAGGGACAGAGCTTCTGCAGGACGAGGGGAGAAGGGCCCCACTTGGGGAGGGCACACGGACACAGGCAGTGGTGGCAAATGAGAGCCCTTTCTGCTTCGCTGAGTTGTCCCAGTCTTCACATTCTCACAGTGCTCCCTCCCTCCCTGGGTGTCTCAGGGGGATGGGGTTCTTCATAGAGATGCCCAATGCAACCGTGAAATCGCATGCTCCCAGCTGCAACATAACAGACCAGCTCCTGGATGTTGTCCCAGGAAGACTGGGCTGTCCTAGGAAACCACAGAGAGTCCTGGGGGACCCCTGGACGGCCAGTGGCTCCTCTGAGCCACGGAACCCAAATAATTACCTTTCTGCTACTTGATTATGTCCTTGTAGATAGTAATTTCAGCTTTTATGTCTCCCCTCTCCCCAAACTTTCCATAGTTGGAAAAGATTTTTTTAAATTAATTTTGTCTAATTATAAAAGAAAGAAAGGTTCATTGTAGAACATTTGAAAAATACAGATAACCATAAGGAAGAAAACAAAAACCACCCACGATCTTAGGGATGTAACTGCTGGGAATGTGTTCATATCTTTCATTCCTAGGCTCTTTTCACTGTCAATCATCTTGCAACACAGGCCCCTGGGGCCGGAGCAGAGCAGCACGTGGGTGGACCATCGTTTTGTGTTGGCTTGGTCCCTACTGTCCATCACTAAAGTGGTTTTCACTTTTGTTTTATTATAGAGAAGGTTGCAAAGAAATTTTTGTTATGTTCTGTTCATATATTCTATGTATATCTTTGTGTAATCTATGGTTATGTTAGAGAAAATTTCTAGAAGTGGAATTATTGGATCAAAGGGTATCAAGGACAGCTTGTCGGCTAAGAAGGTATTCGTTTCCAACTAATGGTTAAGTGTGAAGAATGTGGTCAGCCTGAGACCGACTGTGAGGTTTGGTACAGCCAGAGAGACTGCAGTTATAAAGGCAGGATGGAATAGAGGTTGCGTGGCTGAGTGCACGGGAGAAAGGGCCAGCTGCAGGGGCTATTTGGGAAGGACAGTCTGGGAAAGGCTGTAGACAGAGGAAGTGTGAGGAATGGCCTTGAAGCCCTTAGCAGAGCTGATTGTTAAACTGTCGGGAAAGTTTGCGAGCCAGTGGTTAAACACAGCCATTATCAACCTTTTTTTTTGTGTGTGTGTGTGTGAGGAAGATCAGCCCTGAGCTAACATCCGTGCTAATCCTCCTCTTTTTGCTGAGGAAGACCGGCTCTGAGCTAACATCTATTGCTAATCCTCCTCCTTTTTCCCCCCAAAGCCCCAGTAGATAGTTGTATGTCATAGTTGCACATCCTTCTAGTTGCTGTACGTGGTACACGGCCTCAGCATGGCCGGAGAAGGGGTGCATCGGTGCGCGCCTGGGATCCAAACCCCAGGCCGCCAGTAGCAGAGCACGTGCACTTAACCGCTAAGCCACCAGGCCGGCCCTCAACATTTCAATTGTATAAACTTATAACTAAATGGATTACATCAAAAACAAAGGCAATAAATACTCCAAGCTCCTGGCTTTCTAATTACTTTACTACACTTTCCTGTTACCTGTGCTCTTAGGGTTACTGATGTCCAGTGTGTCTGGAAGGAGGAGATACCACATAATGGTGTGTAACTGCACATCTCTTCCCAACTCAAAAGTCCAGGGACATCACACTGGCGGCTGTGGTGGGAGTCTTTACACCATGGAAATCGGGAAACGCTCCAAACCAGGGCTTTTTGTTTTTGAACATTTACCAGCTCCCCGCTGCCCCGAAGTCAAAGGCTTCCTTAAGAAGCAGAAGGGCTGAGCTGTTCTCAGGATCTCTGAGGGGGAAAGTCCTGGGGCAGGGTGATAAGTGTGCAGTGGGACACTCAAGTGACACTGAGAAACGCAGGAAATGTCTTTCTCCCTGGAATCTTTACCCAGCAGCAGCGTTGCTATGGAAACTGGGCCCAGGCAGTGGGAGAGGAACGCAGGGTGGGCTGGGAGTCAAGAGGGGGATGGGTGCACGCACAGCCTCAGCACCTCAGATGGGGCCATCAGAGTGATGCCTGTGACAGCCCTGCAGCCTTCCCCTTTGACCCACGCGGTGCTGTGCAGAGGCAGATCTCTGGGTGCAGAGCTTGGACTCCAGGGCCACTTCTGCAGGTAAGCGCCACGGGCTCCTGCAGCCTCCTCTTGCTCCTCTTCAGTCATGGTGGGCCTCAAGAGCTAACGAGGGTGGGTAGGGCAGAGACAGGCCATGACAAGTAAGAAATGAGCCCCTCCCAGATGGGGTGAGGGCTACCAACAAGATGGGGAAATACCGGGCCGTGACAAAGCAGCGTGGGGCCAGGCACACAGTAAGGGTCCAGTGTCCTGCTCGAGCCCTGCCTTCACCCAACCGTCATGAGGTAGAGAAAGACCTTCAGACTGCCTGCTCAACGTCTCCACTCCGGTCTCCACATCACCAGGCTCAGGCAAGCTTCCCCTCAGAGTCCTCTTCAAGCCACATGCAAACGTCTACACACACTGGATGCTCTCCCCATGAAGAAACCCAGGACCCACTGCTGCTCACCACCTCCCCTGCCGCCACTGCTCCAAGCCCTGCCAAGCAATTCAAAACGGATCCAAGGCCTAAATGGACACAGCAGAATGGCCTACGTTGGTGGTGAGGGAACAATGTCTCTATGATATTGAGATAGAGAAGCACTCCCTAAGATAAAAAATGGGCAGACAAGAATGGAAAAGATGGGGCCGGCCCCGTGGCACAGCAGTTAAGTGCACGTGCTCTGCTGCGGCAGCCCGGGGTTCGCAGGTTCGGATCCCAGGCACGCACCGACGCACCGCTTGTCAAGCCATGCTGTGGCAGCATCCCATATAAAGTGGAGGACAATGGGTATGGATGTTAGCCCAGGGCCAGTCTTCCTCAAGCAAAAAGAGGAGGATTGGCAGATGTTAGCTCAGGGCCGATCTTCCTCATAAAAAAAATAAATAAAAAAGAATGGAAAAGATATAAACCATTTGACTAGGTTAAAATGTAAAACTTCTGGACAACAAAAAACACAATAAACCCAGTGAGAAGACAGGCTAAGAAAAGATCCTTACAATGCATAGAACTGACAAGGGATTAATCAGAACATACAAAGAATTCCTACAAAACACTAAGAAAATACAAACAACTTAATAGGAAAACGCTCATTCCTGGAAAAGGGAGCCCAGACTGCCCCATAAGCCCTTGAGAAGATGCCTGTTTAGGACTCTGGGAGGTGAGCAGCATTGTCACAATAGCCAATACCGGAAACAGCCCCAGGGTCCGGCATTGGGAGAATGGATCAGAAGTCATGGCGTGGTCGTACACATGGTTTATGGAGACATACGTGCTTATTAATAGCATAAGGAGTAGAAAACACATCAGAATGACAGACTTGAATCCCTCCGGAGAGGAAAGGGGAGGAATGGGGTCAGGGATCTGCCTTTAATACCTTTGGAAGGGAGCTGAGGCCAAC